TGTCTCCAAAAAATATTCTGAGAACCTATATAATAGTACCTGCTGGCAGTAGCTCCTCTTTTTAATGGCTTGTGCCAAATAATACCCCACCTGTAAGCACCTAAAGAGCTGTGTCTCTCTCCAATATAAAGCCACAGGGCTGACTGCCCTCTAAAATTATGGAAAATCTTTAGTATATGTGTGAGTTTTCTGAAGTGATGAACTTGCTATTAGTCTCATCTGATTGAGGCTTCTATTCTTGCCTCTACAAATAAAATACTTTGCATCTGCATAAGCCTTGAAATAATATAAGTATGTGTGTGTAGAAGCATTTCCATTTTATTAGAACAACTGAAGTCCCTAGGATATTTGAAATTCTTAAACTCTCATCTTACTTACTGATAATGGTCTATATGCTGGGCATTCTGATTTTTATTTATATGTTAGCTTTTTCTACATGATCAGTTTTCATTGTTAAATTTTCTTTCATGTCACAGGTAACTTTCCAAGTATAGTAGATGAAAAGTTATGAAAATACTATTGCATATTCCAACATGATATTTTGGAAAACACTTTCTTTTTTGTATTTAAATACCCTATTTCTTAGAGTTTTATGTATGCACAAAATTTGGAAGAACAGATTTATTCACAATAAATAATTGTCTTTTTGTTTGTGTGATGACTGAGCTTTTGTTTTATGCATTATATAGGAACTGAATGGAAGATACTGCTATAAAATGCATTTTTAAAGACCTCATAACTATTCCTTCCTCCTTTCATCACATTCTTGGTCAGAAAAGTATGTCTTTGTTCCATATTTAACAAGTTAATTTAAAGAGGTTCCCACAAAGTCTGTTTTGCTTTTATCTCAACCACCTATTAAGATAGTCCTAATAGAGTATTATTTGTCTCTCTTTTCATCATCAATATGCAAAATCAGTATAAAGCAGACAGGTAAAGTGATGTGTTTATTTTAAATATCATAGACCAAGAATTGAATCTCTAAGTCTTCAAAATTGTCAGACTGTAATGCATTCAGGAAAACTTTCTAAGATTCAGATTCCTCTAATCTTTCCTTCTTTAAACTTCAGTTTCTTTCTTTTTTTTTTTTAAAGATTTATTTATTTATTTATACAAGCACTGGGTACAGTCAGAAGTGCGGGAGGGGGAGAGAATTCACCAGAGTCAGAGCAGAGAGCAGAGCAAGCAAACTGACAAAATACACTGCTGAGAGGAGCAGGAGGCGGCGGGAGAGGTCTGCGTGCCATGTGGGACCCTCACCTAGTGGAGGCCAGGGATAGAACCGGCGCTGCAGAGGTTGCGGGCAGCTTCACAACCAAGCGCTCAACCACTGTGCCACCAGGGAGGCCCTAAACTTCAGTTTCTTAATCTGTAAAATAAGGATATTAAGATTTGCATAGTCACTTCAGAAAGCTATGTGTTTCAAATGAGATGTAACATGAAAGAATGTTTAACAATGGAAGTGGCTATTTAAGTTCTAGTCAAAGAAAATTTAACATATATACATTCTCATAACAAATATGTGAGAAATATATTGTTATTTCGCATTCTTAATTAATTAAGGACAAACTGAATTGAATTTACTTGCTCAAGATTCTACCATTTATAAGTGGCAAATTTCTGTGTGGCAAAGAACAACATAAGAAGTCAAAAGATTAAAGACAAGTGCAGCAGACCTCTCCTCACTGGCCCGCTGCTCCCCTCAGCAATGTATTTCAGTCAATCCTCCTGTTCTTTTCCCCTCCCTGTCTCTGGTGAATCCTTTCACTCTCTGCACCTCTGGCCTGTACCACAGTTCTTGTATGCATAAATAAAATCTTTTAAAAAAAAGACTAAAGGCAATAAGAAAAAAAAATATGGTATCTGACAATCTGGAATTGAGTTTGTCATATTTTGGAAACAGTAAGTGGATTTAAAACATCATATAACAGAAAAATTAGCATAGAGTATGACTTAGCAGGTCACAGAAGAATAAAAATTGGCAAAGTTTTTACTTAACCAATAACTAAAGACATGCAAATAATAACAATAATGATGATGATGAAATGTGTGTGTGCTTCATATGGTTAAAAAGGTAAAAGCAGCACTGTTGAGAGGGGTGCATGAGAAAATGCCCTTCATCCAATCTTGATAGGCATGTAAATTCAAACAAATTTCGGAATGCCTTGTGGTAATATATATTAAAATTTATGGTATCTTACCCTTTGACCTAGCAATTCTGCTTTTCGAACTTTACCCTGAAGGTATTTGTACAAATACATTCTTTTCCATTTTATTTTCACTACAAAAAATTAGAAACACTGCAAATGACTCTGGATATAGAATTGGTTGAATGAATTATGACCTAAGCATATAGTAGGATACTATGCAGGTATTAAAAGTAATAAGACCAAATAATTTATGTGATAAAGAATGATGACAAAGATAAGACCAAATAATTTATGTGATAAAAAAATAAGACCAAATAATTTATGTGATGAAGAATATGACAAAGATACATTTTGAAGTGGAAAAAGTTTCAGAATAAAATGTCTAGCATTTTGTTAGCTTTTATAAAGTATGCATCTCTATGTTTATATCTACTTGATATAAACATCAACTATTTCTAGAAGATTTTCACCAATTTACTTGAGTAAACTGGAGTAGAAAAAGGACCTGCCTTCTCGGTTTAGATTTCCTTCCTGTTTAAGTTGCTTACACACCCAAACTATCTTCTTCTAAGCATGTTTTCTTTCCATGACATCACATTACCCTATGAAAATGATTTGTGAAGCACAAAAGTGAAATCATTATTTTTTTTTATCATTTTCCCTGTGCCAGAGTTTCACCAAAGCAGAGTAGTTTGTTTTTGGCAACAGGTCTATTAAATTACTTTCCATTGCCCTTGTCATTTGCGCCATCTTTTACCTGTTTTCACTCACATCCATTTCCTGCTTCTCCCCACTGCTTGCAATCCCAGAATTCTAACTCTGCAAATGATATTTCCCAGAGGCCTCTGTAGAGTGGCTTCAGTTAGTTATGGCAGCAGGAAATACTGGCAGGAGGCTGAAAGGAGGGTGGAGGAGGAAAGTCCTCTCTCTCTTGGGTGGCATCTTCAGGGGCAGAAACTATTTCCCCTCCTGAAACTTTACTCTTCACAACAGCTCCCACTTTTCTTCCCAGCAGCTATATTCCAGGGGGGCCACTCTCTCTGACTCACCAGTCTGAAGGGAGCTAGCGGTTTCCTTGCCCTGCTAATCTGTTGGCCTTTTCACCTTCTCTATCTAAATTTTCAGCTCTCTGAATATTGTTTTAGCTAGTCCCTTGGATAGCATATGCACTTGAATTACATGGCATGAGTTATGTATTTATGGACTCTGACTGATACACAGTTTATATTGAACTTACATGCCATAAATTCTACTGCTTAGTAAGCTGAATGAAAAATAAATGCCAAAAAGTACATCTAAAGAAAGAAATTAACAATTCAGAAACTTCTTTCTGCCAAGAATTGTCTTGCCATTTAAAAAAATAATCTTCACACCCTTTCTCTGTAGTATTATTATCCCCAAATCACAAAGAAGAAATAGAGGTTCCAGTAGATTAATTAATTGGCTTATAATTGGCAGAGTTGGGCATCGTCTTCAGGTCTTTCTGACTCTAAAGCCCAATTTATTGCCAGTGGGTTAGAAAGTTGATTTCTGCATGTTTCTTCTTTCCCCTTTCACTGTTCGATTTTGCTTCACTTACTTTCTCAGGAATCCTCCAGCCACTGGTTGTGTTCAGCATAGTGTCTTGTCTTTCTAACATTTACCTCCTGCCCACTTACCTGTTATTCTTCCATGATAGCTTGCTTTCTGCTAATCTGTTGAACAAACTTGAGCTGAGTTATTGTTTGATGATAATTGCTCCACTGTGAGAAGAAAAAAATACATTTGAAATTTTAATGCAAACCTACACTAGTTTCACGAACACTTTTATTTGTTCATTCACTTTTCTTTCCTGAAAATGTATTGGTTGCTAGATACACAGCACTGAACAAGACAGATTGCAGCCTGGTAGGGAAGAGAGTCATCAAACAATTTTATTGCATTCTATGTAAGGGAAATGCTCTGTGGAAGCATAGGAAAGGATATGAAAGGAAATTGTACTGTACAGTCCAGAAATACTTCCCCAAGGATATGAAATTTGTGTTGACCATAAAGGCGGCACTAGATAAGTAAAGACAGTAAGTGGGAGAGAAAGAAAAATTATATGACAGCATATATATTGGCCTGGGGATGAAAAAGGGAATAGCCCATCAGAGGAATTTTTGTTTTAAAGACCAATAATGTTAGCATGTAGAGAGAAGAAAAGCTCAGGCAGAAAGACAGAAGGCAGCCCAGGCATGAAGAACCTCCGAGGGCATATTAAGGATTATGTGCTGTGTTTTTTCTATCCTAAGAGGAATGGAAAGCACTGAGGAGTATTTAGCAGTGAAGAGAGACAAGATCTTGTTTTCTGAAATGAATGCTTTGGTTATATTATGGAGAATGAAATGGAAGGTGATAATGGGAGCTGGTTAAGCCACAAGGGGCTTTTTAAATTTCTTGGTGAGAAATGGTGTCCGTTAGGGCTGGAGGGGAGATGGAGAGAGTGGATAGATTTAGAAGAGAGTTGGGGGAATAGGAATTGGGGAGTCAAAAGGCCAAACTAGCAACAACTCTTAGTCTGGAGTCATGTGCTAAGATGGGGGAAAGTAAAGACGGTGGGTTTAACAAAGGAAAAGCCATGAGTTCAGTTTTTCAGGAGATGAGTTTGTGGGTCTTTGAAAAATGTAAGTGGACATGTTGAGTTGGCCTGTATTCTGCCTTTTTGAAGCACAGCTGATGACTGGGACTCAATACAGAAGCTTGAGATTGTTGGCCCTGGCTGATAACCGAAGCCATGGGGAAGTAGGTGAGATAGCTAAAGAGAGAGTAGAGCAAGAAGAGGACCTGGGCCTAGGACTGAATTCCAAAGGGGAGGAAAGTTTCTTTCTTTTTAATATGGAGTGCTTCATAAATACACATGTAACCCTCACTCGGGGGCCATGCTAAACTTTGGGGTATCATTCCAATTTTAGCATATGAGCCTCCAAAGAGAACAAAATAAGCATCTAATCTCAGAAAGTGGACTATGAAAAGAAGTAACTGTTTCAAGTTAATCAAGATACTTTAACTTCATTAGGATGGATGGGAGCTAAGCTACTGTTCAGCTGTGCTATTAAGATGGGGCAGGTTCAAGAGGAAGGATTATATTAGATAAAGACATTTTAAATTCCTAGCCCACCCAGAAGTGCATGTTGTAGGGTAAGGTAAAAGTATCAGGCTTTTCTGCCCTCCTGCCATTACGATAGATGAGGGAACCCTGTGGTGCTGAATGCATGCCCGATGGCGGGCACCTGAAGTGGGTACACCTGACTGAGTTTATAAGGGCAGTGTTGCGGGGACGCCAGCAGAAGCCAAGAACAAACGGAAGCCGAGAGAAGAAGAGAGGCAGAGAGAACGCCAGAGAGCCCAGATAGAGGAGGATTTTCTGGGGGCTGGGAGGACTGCCAGCCTCCCAGCCCCCCAAAACCCCTACCTGCCGTGTACCTGTGTACCTGGTAAATCCCAATAAAAGCCTGAAAACCCGCCGAGGTCTCCAGGACTCTGACTCCTCCTTTACCGGGTCTGCTGGATCAGAAAACCTGCTCCATGTCCTGTCCTGCCCCTACACACGTGCACACTCAGGCACACACGTCCTTCCTCCTAAATGACTGGGATGGCACATTCACACTGTTTTTTTCCCACCTAAGTTGACTCTAAGTTGACTCCTAAGTTCTCAGGTCAAGAAGATGTTGCAGAAATATCTCAGCGACAAGCAAAGACATGTTCAAGCTTACCTTAAGGTTGCTGGTAGAGACTTGGGCTGTCAGTGTTTTGTTCATTTCAATCTTATCTCAATTCCAGGATCGACGGCAAATGCAGGCGACTGATGAATTCTCCACCCTCTCCTTATTTGCTGTCACCTGTAGGAGTAATTTTATTACCTTGTTTGTCAAAGGTCTTTTTGAATTGCATTTTTTCATTCTATAAACGATCCAAAACTGAGCAAAGCAAACAAACTTTTGGGAGTAAACTCTCCATCAGCAACTCACTTCTAAATTCACTCTCTCTCCTTCCCTCCCCTCTCTCTCCCCAGGCAGGCCTATGCAGTTAGTGAAAGAGAAGGGAATAGCACCCCACACATACTCAAGGCCCTACCCAGGACCCCCAGCTGGGACTCATTACCATCAACCTTTTACACATGGCTTTTCTCAGCAAGGATTCCCTTGGATTAAAACTACTAAATCAATTTTAAGTAACTTTTTTGTAGAAATTGTTAAATTTCTATTTGATTAACCCAGTGTAGGGTAAGGAAAAATATCAGGCTTTTCTGCCCTCCCGCCATCAGGATAGATGAGGGAACCCTGTGATCCTGAATGCATGCCTGATGGCGGGCACCTGGAGTGGGTACACCTGGGCTAAGACTGGGCTTTTAAGGGCGGCATCATGGGGACGCCAGGAGAAGCCGAAGCAGAAGCCAAAAGAGAAGCCAAGAAGCAGTAGAACGGACACCAGAGAGCCCAGATAGAGTGAAGACTTGCTGGGGGCTGGGAGGCCTGCCAGGCTCCCAGCCCCCCAGCCAGCACCCCTGCCTGCCATATGCCTGGTGAACCCCAATAAAAGACCTGCAAAAAAACCACTGAGGACTCTGACTGCTCCTTTACCCCGTCTGCATGGGATCAGAAAACCTGCTCTGTGTCCTGTCCTGCCTTTGCACCCAGAAAAGGAAACAAATGTACAAGGGGGTAGGAGGGGGAAAAAATGGAGATTACTAAACTCAAAGTTTTGGAGGGGCCAGGCAGAAGTTCAAAGAGAAATCCTAAGCTGTTGCTTAAAAGCAAATCTTATGGCGTAAGGATACTTATGCTGAATTTGCAAGGAGAGCATGTAAATAATCATGTAATTTACTTGAAGTTGTTCTAAAGCCAACATAACATTTTAGAAACAGCTTTAATGAGATATAATTCATATCTTATAATAGTCACCCTTTAAAACTGTGATTCAGTGTTTTTTTAGTAGTCTCACAAAGTTTTGTAACTTTCACTACCATCTAATTTCAGAACACTTTGATAAATCCAAAAAGAAACTCTCCACACGTTAGTAGTGTCTCCACCTTATCCTCCCGCTAGGATACCACTAAAAATATACCCTTTCCAGTGCTTTAACTTCCCATGCACAATCACCAAATATTCCTGATAAATGATATGTAAAATACACAAAAGAGAAATAAGATTTTGAACAAGTGCTCATCCTTCTGTATTTATTTTCTCTCGTATTATTCAGTAGGTCTGTATCCATCTTAATACACTGTTATCTGTTACAGCCATGTGGACAATACAGATCTTCTACTCCTATACTACTTTTGACCTGTTTTCCTGAAATATTGCTTGTGTTCTCATAACCATGAAAAATGCACTTACCACTTATTAATGAGTTTCTCATCATCAAGTCGAGTGGCTTTCATTAGCATTCATGCCTCTCAGGAGCATTTCATAGAAATCATCACCACTTTTGATTCAAAAGTATCTTTTCCCTTAATACTTTCTAGAGAACCAACTGTGTCTGAGGAGACTCCTTCCTAATTTTTTTCCCTTTTACCTGTAAATAAGAAATGCACAAGATTCTCTTTCTTCTTTCATTTGATCTGGCCCATGTGACACACCTCAACTTTCACCACTTTTGGAATGAGTATGAGATCAGTATCTTTTTTTTAAAGATTTATTTATTTATGCATAAAAGAACCGGGGTGTAGGCCAGAGGTGTGGGTGGTGAGAGGATTCACCAGAGACTGTGGAGAGCAGAATAGGCAGATGTACTGAAATACACTGCTGAGGGGAGCAGCGGGCAAAGCAGGAGAGGTCAGCTGCACATGTGAGTTGCTCCCTGGCTGGTTGGATGGAACTCATGCTGCAGTGGCTGGCAATAGCTTGATAGTGCTGTCTTTGGGCTGAAACTTCCTTCTGTCCTAAGGTTCCTATGACCTGTGGCTGGCTGGACAAGTCCTTCCAGTGCATGGAAAACACATTATGACAGGATTTACCACACCCACTCCATCAAATACCTTCCCGATTCTGACTGCCCTTATTCAGTTAATGGGTTATACCTGGAGCTGTCATCTGGCTTAAATCTGGTCTTTTTAATTAACTTTTTCACCCCTCCACATTTCATATTCACTTGTCATGTCTAAAGGATTATTCCTTTGCAACATTTTGCCCACCCATCTCTCTTTTCTTCTTAATGCTACCACCATAATTGGAGAGCGAGAAGCAATGTTTTCCCATGTTTCTCACTGCCAACTAGCCTGATCTCTGACATTACAGTGAAGTTAGTTTCCCTAATATAAGATTTGATGGATCCTATTTTCAAAAAACACCATTGTTTGCCTGAGATTACATTTCATAGACAGTCCCAGTCACCATGTCTTCTGTTTCTCATGTCTCTTTTGTCAAACTTGGTCACTTTAGGTTTTCTCAAATGCCCTTTTTAGTGTTTATTTTAGTTCGGTCTGTTCCTGAAACATTAAATTCTTTCCATTTCTAATACTACCTATTTACCCAAATTTAGCACTAATACAGTCTTGATTTTTTAACTTAAGAAAATTTTTTCCCCTTCTTTTATACAAGGATCAGTTTGTGTGACTTTTGCAGACTTTAGTAGCTTGGGGAAATCCTGAGAGCAAGGACTGGACCCTTAATCATATTTCATCATCTATATGATCTGGTCCTTCACCTTATTGTTCTAGTTTATAGTATATGGGGCTGTGGGTAATAGAATATCTCAAATAATGGTGGTTTAAGTAAGATAAATTTCTTCTGTCTAAAAAAATGTAGGGGGCCTCCCCTGGTGGCACAGTGGTTGAGCGCTGGGCTGCGAAGTGGCCTGCAGCCTCTGCGGTGCCAGTTAGATCCCTGGTCCCCCCGCAAGGGTCCCACATGGCACTCAGACCTCTCCTGCCGTGCCCACTGCTCCCCTCAGCAGTGTATTTCTTTGTCAGTCTGCCTGTTCTGTTCCCCACTCTGGCTCTGGTGAGTTCTTTCGCCCTCCTGCTCTTCTGACTGTACCCAGTGCTTGCATAAATAAATAAATAAATCTTAAAAAAAAATGTAGGGCTGGAAATGCAGTTCTGCTTCATAAATTCTTCAATATGTTGGCCCTTCCCATATTAGTGCTGTGGCTTTCACGACCTTGATGTTGGGAATCAAGAGAGTTTTGTACTCCAGATGGAGAAGAAAGATAGGTTGAAAAATAAAATGGTGAGGGCATGCATGTCTATTTCTTAAGGAAGTATCCTGGAGGTAATTGCAAGTTACATTCTCTTCTATTTTGCCAGTGATATTTGTATCATGTGGCCACACCTAGCTGCAAGAGGTTGAAAAATATAACCTTTACAATTGGTGCTAATTTGTAGATTAAAAAGTATACTACTATGGAAAAGAAGAAATCAATAATCTGGATGCTAATGAATTGTCACTGGAATTTCAGAGATGATAACAAATGTACTGCTGTGAGGCTGGATATCCACTGTGGTGGTGGTGTTGCGGGGGTAGTACAAAAAGGGAGGCAGGTGCAATATGAGAACCCCCTTTACTTTATGATCAATTTTTCTCTGAATTTAAAACCACTCTAAAAAATAAAGTCATTTTTGAAAAGTTAAGGTAAAACTAGAATAGACTGAAATAAATGTTGCGGAGTAAGTGAATGAATGACAATAGAGGGTCAAAGATAGTATGTGAAGGTTGAAATGTTTCAAGGAAGTTAGAAAATATTTTTACTTAGTGAACTTCATGCTTAATAATCCTATTATCCTTAATATAATATTCTGTTTTCTGGTTTAGCGATTATAGTCTCGCTAATTTTAGGAAAAGAAAATCTCCCAAAATCAGTTTCTAATCATATAGCTTTGCAGGATTCATATCTGAATTGATTCTTTTTAAAAGACAGGAGGTAGCTTTTTCTATATTGTATTTATAAAGCTTGATAATTAACATTACATTTGCATAAATTTCTAAAGTGGTGAT